TGTGGGCTGCTGGAGACGTTGCAGCCTGCAAGGGTGTGTATGAGGTTCCCGAGGAGGAGAAAAGTCTAACAAATTCAGAGAATGAAGTCTGATCTGCATTCTAAAACTGGATTTGAACTTTTTTCAAGTACTTGGTTGACATTTACTCACCTCTAAAGTGCCCCGATTTCAGCTTAGCACCTGAAAAGAAAGTACTTTGAAAGCAACCGTATGGAACTGTTTTTTTTTTTTTTTTTTTTGAACTCAGCTCACTTAGAATATTTACCATGTGAAGCGGCAGAGCAGTGATGACCCCAGGCAATGAAACGGCAACTGGAAACTTAGTCAGTTGAGCATGAAGCTGACTATGCCAACACCATTTACCCAGGGAAGTTTCTAAACTCAGAGAATTCTCATTCAGCAGTAAGACACAAATGTTCTATTGCTGCTATGCTATTAATGTCACAACTTCTTATTTTATCGATCAAAGGTAGCTCTCATGAAATGTGCTGAAGCCAAAATTTTCTTTAAGTGGAATCTATTTTCCTATTAGTTTCCATTATTTTTGCATATTTTTGTGCAGGAAAATAAAAATCCCTAATAAGTTTGTAATTTCTGTCTCGTTTGCTGGAACAAAGCCTAGCACAGAGAGGGAGCGGAATGCCTATTCGTCCAGTGAATAAATGAGTGGAGATGTTTGTCAGATTTGTGACATGTTGGATATCCTAGGTGGTCGGTGGTGACGTTTTGTAAGGGTTTCCCCGGGCTCTGGGATTTTGTTTATTTCAGCAGGTCAGAAGTTCTTGAACTTTAATCCTTTCCTCCTCAGAGCAGTGGTTCTTAGACTTCAGTATACGTCAGAACTAACTGATTAACTGACAAATGGAGCCCAGGATCTGCATTGTTAACAATTGTCTGATTGGCAGCACATGGACCACATTTTGAGAAGCACTATCTTTAAGTCTGGCGTTTGTGAAAAATGTTATACAGTTTTACTTTACCATCTGGAGTTCCAATTGATATGTGGATACCAGCGCCTGAAAGGGGCTCTGGGTTACAAAAGATAAATGATCATTCCTCAATTTGGTCGATTCAAAACATGACACAAAATAAGGGTCACTAGAATTGTATACCTTTCCTTGGAAATATCCTCCCCACCAAAAACATAGTTTCATTCTCTTCCATTAAAATATATGCAGAATCTGGGGCACCTGGGTAGCTGAGTCAGTTAAGCGTCCAACTTCCACTCAGGTCATGATCTCACAGTTCATGGGTTCGAGCCCCATGTCGGGCTCTGTGCTGACAGCTCAGAGTCTGGAGCCTGCTACAGATTCTGTGTCTCCCGTTCTCTCTCTGCTCCTCCCCCATTCATGCTCTGTCTCTGTCTCTCAAAAATAAAGTAAAAAAATTAAAAAAAAATACATGCAACATCTGACCTTTTTTCTTAAACCTCCGCTACTGCTACCTCGCCCCAAGGTACCATCATCCCTTCCCTGAACTTTCAGCTCCTTGATAACTTTTCTGCTTCCACTCTTATCCCCTCTTCAGCCTACTCTTAACACAACAGCCACACTGATCCAGTCACCCATGTGCTCAATATCTTTCAATGGCTTCTCATAGGTGGAAAGGTGAAGTCTCGCAATGGCCTGTGAGACCCTGCGTGTTCTGGCCCATGATGTCAGGAACCTCCGCTTCTGATGTCCCTCCTACTTCACTTTCCCACCCTGGCTTCCTCTATCCTATAGAAATGTACCTGCCTCAGCGCTGTGAATTTGCTGTTCCTTTTGCTGCCAGCCAGACACCTGCATAACTTGCTTGCTCACCTCCTCCAGGCTTTTCCTCTAACGCTACCTTCTTACCGAGGCCTTCTCTGGGCATCACATATGAAATCATAACCCCCAGCTGTCCACCCCCGGCACTCATTACTCCCTTTCCCACTTTATTTTATTCTTCCCATCTTTCAGTGTCTAATAATATGTATGGTTACTCATTTAGCTTACACTGCAATTGTAAGGCTAAGGGTTTTGTTTGGTTCATTGCCGAATGCTCAGGGTCCAGAAGAATACCTGTCCTTGGGGAGCAATTAATATGTACTTGAGGAATGAAAAGATGAATCCACTATCTTTTACTTTCCACCTTCTTCCCACCTCTTACATTTCATGTTTATCCTTCAGTTCTGACTTATTTCCATTGTTGAACATGTTAATTCTCTCTGCTTTCCTAGGCCCAACCCAGCATCATTTACATCCACTGCCTTCTATCATTTGTTTGGCTTTGTTTCTCTTCCCAGTGAAGCATGGGTCATATTCCAGGGCCAATTGTGTGTGTGTGTGTGTGTGTGTGTGTGTGTGTGTGTGTGTGTTTTCCCTTGCCTTCTTTCTCCATCTGCTTTTGCTCCAGCTCAGCCAGTTCAGTGCTTGGCTGTAGAGTTTTCAAATTCCTGCTCCGTTATTCCCAAACCAATATAAGATGCTATTTGCTGTGTATAAGAAAACAAACTGCGGATGTTCCATATATTGCATAACCTGACATCAAGAGGGACACAGTGAAAATGAAGTGTGTCCGGAGGAGTAAGCGAGGGAGAAAAGGGGACGGGGAAGGCCTGTTTTGGGACTAATTCTTTGACCATATAATTTATGAGGAGACTTAGATCTCTACTTAAAGCTGCTCCTGAGAATTCTGCCAACTACAGTGGAATTAGACCACTATTTATGAAATGTGAGTGATTGTTCCATGAAAGGTTATAGGTTAGCAGTCTTGGGACATTTATTCAAATTTCTCTTCACTGTCTCCACTGTTGATTCATATTAGCAATCGTGGGGTTCATTTACCATGCTTAGAAAGACAAAGTCCTGGGGCATAATCCACAAATGACCGCTGAGTAGGGTTAACACACACAGGCGTATGATTACCTGGTAATGAATGTCCTCTCGTTGACGAAGATCCAGGAAGAGCACAGGTCAGCCATCGTACTCATCTTTTCCCCTTTTGTGGGAGCATCTGAGGATACCCTGAGATGTGAGGATAACGTTAATGGTACTTTCCTGTGATGCATTCATCAATTAATTTCTGACTTAAATTGAAAAGTTTTGCTTTGTCCCTAGCGAGTAAAATCATGTGGGGCACGTTTTTAAGTAGTGTTTCTTTTTTTTTTTTTTTTTAATGTTTATTTTTGGACGCTCAACTGACTGAGCCACCCAGGCGCCCCCTTGACCTATTTTAAAATCCTGATTCCTTAAAAAAGAAATGTCAGAGAGAACTCTCTTAGCCTTTATTAAAGGCAAGAGTTAAGAGTTAAGCGGCGACCTCGGCTCAGGTCACGATCTCACAGTTTGTGAGTTGGAGCCCTGTGTCGGGTTCTGTGCTGACAGCTCGGAGCCTGGAGCCTGCTTCAGATTCTGTGTCTCCCTCTCTCTCTCTGCCCCTCACCCGCTCGCACTCTGCCTCTCTCTCTCTCTCTCTCTCTCTCTCAAAAATAATAAACATTCAAAAGTTTTTTTTTAAAAAAAGACAAGAGTCCAGTGGCCTTCAGGACAGGGGTGTCCTCTTTATAAACCCAACTGCAGGGCATGCTGGGGCAGGCAGTGTTTGACCCACTTTCTTTGATTGTAGAAGACCCTGGCCATGGAAACCGGGCAAACATTGCCCTCTGGCTCTACTGGCCAGGTAGAAGCAGCCTCTGGAACATTGGCTCTTTGTGCTGAATTTGTGCTCAGAGGTGCAGGTGGCTGATTCCTTTGTTTCAGCAAAGGGTGCCAGCCAACATGCTTGGAAAAAAACACTGTGGAATAATGCACTTTCTGCTAAAATCTGTTACATCATGCTAATTAAAGTTATTTACTAAGGACAGGAACGCACACGTGGCTTGTGGGCTGCTGGAGACGTTGCAGCCTGCAAGGGTGTGTATGAGGTTCCCGAGGAGGAGAAAAGTCTAACAAATTCAGAGAATGAAGTCTGATCTGCATTCTAAAACTGGATTTGAACTTTTTTCAAGTACTTGGTTGACATTTACTCACCTCTAAAGTGCCCCGATTTCAGCTTAGCACCTGAAAAGAAAGTACTTTGAAAGCAACCGTATGGAACGNAATTGAAAAGTTTTGCTTTGTCCCTAGCGAGTAAAATCATGTGGGGCACGTTTTTAAGTAGTGTTTCTTTTTTTTTTTTTTTTTAATGTTTATTTATTTTTGTTTCTGAGAGAGAGACAGAGTGTGAGCAGGGGAGGAGCAAAGGGAGAGAGAGAGACAGAATCAGAAGCTGACTCCAGACTCGGAGCGGTCAGCACAGAGCCTGACACGGGGCTCAAACCCATGAACCGTGAGGTCATGACCTGAGCCGAAGTCATAACTGACTGAGCCACCCAGGCGCCCTTGATGTAGTGTTTCTTATATGGGCAGGAGGGTTCAGTTGGGGACGGAAGGAAAGAGAAAGATTTCTTTTTTCTTTTCTTTTCTTTCTTTCTTTTTTTTTTTTTTTACCATGTGTCACCGATCTTATACTCTGTCTGAGCCACTTTACAGATGTTATCTTACTTGGTCCTCAGACCATTCCAGTAGGGTGTGGGTGTTATTACCTCTGTTTCCAACACTTGGTAAGTAGTGGGACATGTAATTTGAAGCAAAGTCTGAATCTTGAAGGCCTCTACGTGTTTCTTTTCACCAACATTGTTTTGGCATTTGGGAAAGGTTATATAAATTACAATTTTTGATTTTCTATAAATTGACTCATTCCAAACTTCTTTTCAAAGATTTTTTTCTAAGGGAATTACTATTGAGGATAAATGAGATGCCCTCCAAAATGTTCAATTGTAAGAAAATAAGCTCAGAGTTTAGCGTTTTAACTACAACACATTTTGAGTGAGTTTCTAAACCTTTTCATGACTTTTCACCAAGTGACTTGTTTGAAAACAAGTAATAATGTCTTATTATCTCTGCTCTTGCCCCCCCTCGACCCTTATAAGTTTTAAGATGTTTAAGTGTTTTCCTCTGTTTTTGTTACTCCATATGTGCTTCTGAGAAAAATACATTTTGTCTCTCGTGATATATTTCTTATTTGAAACTGAAAACTATATTCTTCATGTAACTTAGGGAAACTAAGTAGTAAAGGCAGAGGAACATATAATTTAGTTTTAACAGCCTCTGAAGAAAGATGATAAAGAGGGCATATGAAGAAATACTAGATGGGCCAGAAATATATAACTTGACATATGGTCGTCTCCTTGGTAATCAACTTGAGAGATTGACAACTATAGAATGGAGAGACAGCGAGAGAGAAAGACAAACAGGATAGGGAGATATTTCTAAGAAAGTACAATACAAAACACAATGTTGGCCCATGTTAAATGCAAATGATTTGCAAATTTGTAAGTGAAACTGCCGGATCAAAATTGTGCTGATAATCACTTTACAGTTGATGGCTATATTAGCTATACTCCTGGTAATGAATGTATCCAGTATGGTTAAATTTGGCATAACTCCTACCAGGAATCCTACTTCTGAATTTTTAGTATTTGAATTGGAATGCACTGTAAGGATTTTTTTCGTTTTTCAATTTATCCACAGTTCTGATACTACCAGGTTTTAGTGATTCAAAAGTTATGTTCCTGTTCTCTCTATATATAATGCACAGATGTGCTTGGGGTGTTTGAAACTGCTGTTTTTTGGTGCAGATCTTACTTTTTATTGAGAAGTATGAAAAAAGGAAAAAAAAAGAAAAAGAAAAAGAAGCTGTATGAAGAACTTCACCTGTCTGGAATAATGTTTCTGAACCCTTGCTGGTTTTATAGTTTATAGTAAAATTTCCAGGACTTTATGAAAAAAAAGTTTAGATGTCTTGTTCTTATTATGGTCTTAAAGGAAATTTCCAGAAACTTATGGAAAAAAATTTTCAGTCAGTTTTAAAGCTCTACTTACTTGGCAGCTCAGTGTTATTCTCTTTAAGATGATACTAAATTCCCAAAGACTTCTATAATTCCCTCCCCCCCAAAAGCATTTTATAACCACTGAAATTATTTTGGCAACATGAGAATACAAGATAGTTAAAGTAGAAAAGAAAAGAAATGTGAGGTAAATGTTTGGAGATGTGCAGAAAAGTGGAAAATGTACGATGTAAACTGAAAAACTACAGAATTGGTGGCCAAAGGCAAGGAAGGATTTGCCAGTTTGGTAAATCTGTTTTTGGAGTATTTCTAGAATGAGTTCTCTCCTATATGATTCTGTGCAAGGGAATACATTTCTTCTATTACAGCCACTCAACTCAAATTGGCTGAACTGTGCCCCAGACCTACAAACATAATTTTAAGTTTCCAGGCATCTAAAATCAAGCTCTGACTCGCAAGTGTTGATTAAGGGTGATGTAACATCCTTCAAGTTTCCTTCAGGCTCTGGAAACTGTGGTCAGACATGAATAATACCCTCCTTTACGTCTTCATCTAAATGGCATTAGGGTGTGACCAGAGATTTTAAGTCTAATATTTTCTAGTCATTCCATTTTGCAGAAATTACATATTTAATTACCATTGCTTCAAGCTTATAGAATCATAGGGGATATAGCCAGGATAAAATATTAGTCTAGAGAGAAAAGTTCAACTTTTAATTAAAAAAAAAAGATGGGGCGCTTGGGCGGCTCAGTCGGTTAAGCGTCTGACTTCGGCTCAGGTCATGACCTCACGGTTCGTGGGTTTAAACCCCGAGTCAGGCTCTGCGCTGACAGCCAGCTCAGAACCTGGAGCCTGCTTCACATTCTGTGTCTCCCTCTCTCTCTGACCCTCCCCTGCTCACGCTGTCTCTCTCCCAGAAATAAATAAAACATTAAATTAAAATTTTAAAAAAGAGGGGTAGGGTCTTCTTCCTTTTACTTCCAAATCAGCTTAGTTTGGGTGGAGTAAGGTGTTTGGAAGGTATTTCATGTCCTTTTTCTCCAGAAGAAGAATAATTCCTCCACCCACTGCTCAAAATAAGGGAAAAGGAAAAAAGAAAAAAAAAAGGAAAGCTATTTTCACAAATCCCCTGATGCATTATAGCACATTATTTGAAATTATATAATCTATTTCAAAGCTATGAGCACATCTCACTGGGCAAATTGTAATAGTCTCTAAGCTGAATGCTTCACTAATTCCCCTTTATGCTTTTACTATCTTGACCATCACACATCACATCATCTTATGTTCACAAACCTTCCTGGGATCGAATTCTTAGCAAATACAGTCCAGTTCTCCTAACCTGACATTCAGGTTTTCTGCTATTCTACCAACACCTACTCTTCTAAACTGAAAATTGAAGCTTTTCTCGAATTCCAGACCTACTGGTCCAATGGATCTCAAGCCATTGAGTCTCTTGTCACCAGTTAGTTACCTCACATGAGAGGGCCCTCATCACCAGAGGTTGATGTCCCGATTTCTGCTTCTTCCTAGTCTCTGCTCAAGTGGATCCTTATCAAGTCTCCCCAAAGTCTATTATTTGCACTGCTCTGATGTCATTTTCTGCTCTCCACCTTGTATGGTTGCTCTTGATCTATACCTTATTTTTCTACTCCTATCTTCTTGCTCAAAGAATGGTGTTCCTCTAGTTGGGGATGTCATCTTCTTTGATAGCTCATCATTGGAAGGGAGTCTCCTGGAGGACTTATGCTGGAAGCGACAGAAGCTTAGCCACCAGGCAAATCAACTCTGTAGGTCAGAAGCTACATGGGCTGCCTTGGGAGAAAAACACAGCACATTCCATGAGCCCAACAAATCCCTGTTACTCATTCACAGGATTTGGTCTGGGCTGTTTGGTTCCATAGCCCTTGCTCTCTTGCATCTAAAACCTGAGTTTTGCCTCTAGATGCTGTCATTTGAATCACCCACAAAAAGGGTTATTGCTGCTCCCTACTGAGAATCCCCCAGTGGTGATCTCATTGTCCAAACACTGTCTTCTCCTAGATCCCAATTATTTACCATTTATTCTTTAAATTGACCCCTCCCTGCACCTCTCCTCCCACATTCCAATGGCCTGTATCTTGCCAAATGGTTCATTTTCTCTCCTTGTTTTTTCTCATAGCAGCATTTGACAAGGTTGATTGTTTCCTGTTTTTGAAACCCTTTTTTTTCTCTTGAGGCTTTTGAGACAAAGCAGTAACCACAACAACCTTGCCTTGTTTTTTTTTTTTTTTTTTTTTTTTTTTTTTTTTTTTTTTTTTTTTTGCTATTTCACAGCTGTCCAGACTCCTGTCCAGCTGTCCAGAACAATCACAGAATGCTGGCTTGTTCTACTGGTCTATTCTCGGCCGTGTCCTCTTGTCTGTCTACACTTTCTTCCAGATAATTGAATCTATCTCGAACCCAACTTCTCTGCTGAGCTCCAGACCCATGTCGTTATCTATTTAATCTCTACTTGGATGTCTAGCAGGCTTCTCCCATGCCATCATGGCCCAGACAGGACCACTGACTTTCTTCAGTCTCCAGAATTCCCTCCCTGACAATTCTTTCCCGTCTACCCAATTTGACACCATAACTAAGACTCACTTTTATCTTTTCCTCTTTTATTAAAATTTTAAAATGTTTATTTATTTTTGACAGAGAGAGAGAGAGAGAAAGAGAGGAGAGAATGAGCAAGGGAGGGTCAGAGAGGGAGGGAGATACACAATCCAAGGCAGGCTCCAGGCTCTGAACTGTCGACACAGAGCCTGACACGAGGCTCAAAATGGACTGAGGAATCATGACCTTAGCCAAAGTTGGACGCTTAATGGACAGAGCCACCCAGGTGCCCCTCTTTTCCTCTTTTATTATCACCAGATTCTAGTTCAAAAGTAAATCCTAATGGTTGTACCTCCAGTATCACCTGAGCTCAAAAGCTTCTATTTCTCGTGCTACCACCCTGAGGTAAGCCATCATCACCTTACTCCTGAATTTCTGCATTAGTCTCATGGCTAGTTTCCCAGCATCCACCAGTGACTAGTCTTCCGTTTTCTAGCAGAATCTAGGATGATAACTTTAAAGACTAAATCTCATCATTTGATGAATAAAAGCTTCCAATGACTTCCAAGAATGAGCTAGAATAAAATATAGCCTCCTTATAATTACCCATAAAATCCCATCAATCTCTTCAGTGTTCATTCCCTTCATTACTTTCCTCACTGATTACATTTAGTCTACATTGGCCTTTTAGCTGGTTTTCCATCACTTCCTAAACTCATTGCCATTTTAGGGATTTATACTTGCTGCTCCTCCTACTTAGAGTACCCGCCCTTAGACTTCCACATCTGTTTCCCATCGTGCTGATCTTGGTCCAAGTATCTCTTCACCCAGAAGCTTTCCGGTGGCAAATGCCGGTCAGCCACCTACCACATGATTTCCACTTAGGTACGTCACAGTATCTGAAAGGATCTTATTTATTTACTTATCTGTCTTCCCCAACCACAACATGAACTTCTTCAGATCAGGGCTTTTTGTATTTATCTGTATACATCCAGCTCTTAGAATTTTGCCTGGGACATGTAAGGAATTCCATTCATATTTGCTGAGTGACTGACCAAATGTAGAGTCGCAGACGTGGCCTGAGGGGTTAATTGTTATTTATAAAAATTTTTTTTACCACATCGTTAGCATGATAGCTTTGCGGAGACTAGATGTTGGGCAGATATTGAACTGAAGAATCACCAGTGGAAGTTTTTACAATCATAAAGTGCAATTGATAGTGATGGGCTGAAAATCACTGCAGGAATTTCCTGGTTGGCTTCCTATTTGTATTTATCAGAAAATAGCTAAGGTGTCATTAAAGACACTGAACAATTGCTGCGGAATTATGTTGTCAAACTGGTGAGCTATGCTAAAGCCAATCAGAAAACTTCAGGTGTGATTAAAGGATTTCATAAGCACTTAACGTTATTCCCTGACCTTAGGAAGGAAGGCAGTTAAATGGAATTTATGGAAGAAAAAAAAACAACAGGATAAAATTTTTGTTCATGGGCAATATGTGCTCATTGAAGAGGAATCATATTGGCCGTATCTGAATCTAAAAATTGGCTCAACAAATTATTCAAACAGTCTAGATACCTGAAGGGTAAAAATGTAATTTGGCAAAAGTCTCATTTTATTATTAATTGCCGAGGTGAGAAATAGATCTTTGAATTCAGCTTCCCCTCTCAATTCCCATTAGCCATGACTCATAGCAATTTAAAACCTGGTAAGACATTTGTAAATACCTTCTAAATAATAGGGGCGGGGTAGATCTAAGGATCTGAGCTAGTTTTCTCAAAAAGCTTAAGAGCAAGATAAGAGAGGTCATGATTAGCAGAGATGAGGATTTATGAAGAAAGGAAAAACGATAATTCTAGAAGCCTAGAGGTCTTATTTTGGATAGTCACGATTGGTTTCGTAGAGCATAATAAACTATGCCTTGAGGAGGAAGGTAGTTGTTACAAGTCTATGTACTTTACTGGGAGGGTGAGTCAAACAAGCTATCTATCTGGTCCTCGGGCCAGTTTATTGATTTTGACTGTATATGAAATAAGATTATTATTTAATAAGTTTGGTTATTTAGTTTTTCCTTTGTCCAGATAGGATGGAGCTCATGGGGTAGGAAACTAGGTCAGCAATCAGGTCCCGGAGAAATAAACAGTCCCGGAAGTACTAGATGGGTCTAAGCTCAGATGGGCCTAGGTGACTCGGCAGGGAAGGGCAGAGCCTGGGAAGGCAGCTCAGTCTAGGCAGATAGACAAGATGAGGAGGCTGGGAAGGCAGGGTCAGACAGCTCCAGCTTGCAGGCCACACTAAGACCTGGGAGCATCAGAGAGCATCTGTGCCTGGCCTCCCCGCTGTGCTGTATCCTGCCTCGATGTGTGCTTGCCTGGATTGGCCAGGTACCAGAAGGAGGCCCAGAGGGTGGTAGGTGAATCCCGGCCCCAGTGAACTCACATGGGCCAGTCACTTAACGTACCTTCCTGTGACCTATCATGGATTAAATGGTTACTTGTTTAAAAAGTGGAAAATTTGGTTCACTCATTTGTATAGTACACAAATATTTCATGAGCTTCCTCTCTGGGCTTGCCCCTGTGCTAGGCACAGGAAATGGAACCTACAGCTGTATCCGTAGCCCCTTACTCCTGAGGTCACTGCTGCATGACGTGCCAAACAGTTCAGAATTTTATAATGAACTAAAAGGATATAGGTGTTAACTTCCCAAGATTCCCCAGCCAAAGAACATTTTTCCTGCCTCTGAGCTTTCACAGCAAAATATCAGCAGCTTTCTAATTACTTACTGCTTTCTCTAACTATAGGTTACTTTACTTAATTTGACTATTCCTTTAGAACAGGTTTATTGCTTATTTCATTTTTGTACCTTTTAGAGTGACGGTATATATATTAAATATGTAGTTAAAAACATATATAAAAGAAAGAATATATCCAATATATAAGGAAGTATATTAAAATATTAAGCATAAAACTATAAGCTATGAAATCATGAGTGATAATTATTTTCTTTCTGATTTCATATGTTCCTTCTAAATCATATACAAGGAACATATCTTACATAACACACACCATAAAAGTTACTAAGAAAAAAAAATGAAAAATAACACATTGGAATAGAAAATGTGTATTTAAATTATGAAGTAAGATTATATTCAGAGTGGTATGCAAGAAATTTTTTTTTATTATTGTCTTGACCTGAAAAAGCAATGGAAAGTCACAAACATGTATTAAGCTCCAAAATAAAGTTGTTTTCTCTCAGCTCTGACCAGGAACCTTGAAGTTGAAAAGAACAGATCTATATACAATTATATGACTTCAAGGAAATGGAAAAAACCCCGTCTGTACTTCTATCCATTATTAGTTCTTAGTAAAACAGTAAAAGAGTCCAGAGAAGTGTGGTTTCTGGGAAATATCTGGCTCCATAATTCTAAAGAATTTGCCTCATTTGCAAAGATGGCAAAAGTGAGGAACTGGGATGTAAAAACTATCACCTTATTCAGTGATATTTGTTGCAGTTAGGAATTGCTTGTTTTGAGATGCAAATAACAATGTGTTATAATGCTTGAATTTAAGATGGGACTCAACAGGGTATGGATCAAACACCCAGGTTTCTATGTGCACATGCCATTCCGGTCAGTCCCAGTGGCATCTCAATTGAAATGCCAACCTTTAATATTCTATTCCATACTAGCAGAACACTAACGCCCTGGCTTGACTGTCTCCAAGCACCCCCAGGGCTCAGGAACTATAGCAGAAGCACGCGGGCTTTCAGCTACTTCAGGACTCAAGGCATCTGGCCACCACTCAGTCTGGGAGGGAGCTGCTCAGTCTGCCGAAGGCATCTTCTGGAACTTCCGCTGTGGTACAGCCCAAAGTTTCTGCTTCGTCTAGTTTACAAGAGAAATTCTAAACTTGACTTCACAGGGATCATGGATCATTGTTCTTGTTCTTATTCATATGTTGGCTGCAGAGTGAGCACTTTCTGCTCTTGATAGGCCCTGGGATGGTGATGGGAAGGTGGTCCTTTAGATGATTATGATTACACGGTCATCACTTAAAAGGGAGACACTGTCACATTCCACTACTGAAAGCAGTGGCATTAGTCTACAACTTGAAATGATGTTATGAAGTGATGAAATCACCATATCTGATAGCTTTGAAAGACAGATTTCTGCAACAAAACCTAACCCTCTCTAACACTAGACCTCAGGGCAAAGAGAGAATATTCAGAAGTTCTTCCTTAGAGGTTCTTTGGCCTATATTTGAAAATTTTTTTAAAAATCTGACCTTTAATTTTTTAAATCTAACTAATTCTAGTTAGTTAACATACAGTGTAATATTAGTTTCAGGTGTACAATATAGTGATTCAACACTTCCATGCAGCACCCAGGGCTCATCACGACAAATGCTCCTCTCCATCCCTACCACTGGTTTTCCCCATCCCCCATCCACCACCCCTCTGGTCACTATCAGTTTGTCCTCTGTAGTTAAGAGTTTGTTCCTTGGTTTCTCTCTTTCTCTCGCTCTTTCTCTTTTTTCCTTTGCTCAGTTATTTTGTTTCTTAAATTCCACATATGACTGAAATCATATCGTATTTGTCTTTCCCTGGTGGACTTCTTTTATCTAGCTCCATCCATGTCATTGCAAATGGCAAGAGAAAAAAGTGAAACTTTTATTTTATTTAGCTAATTATTTAGTTATTTATTTTTAATGTTTTTTAATGTTTATTTATTTATTTTTGAGAGAAAGAAAGAGCAAGGTGGGGAGGGGCAGAGACAGAGAGAGAGAATCCCAAGCAAGCACCTCACTGTCAGCATGAAGCCCCACATAGGGGGCTCGATCCCATGAATCATGAGATCATGACCTGAACCGAAACCAAGAGTCAGATGCTTAACTGACTGAGCCACCCAAAATCTAAAGTTTGATAGGAAGCTCCTATATCTCTAGAAATCCTAAATTCCCTATCTTTAATGAATCTATACAAGTTAATTGTCAGGACTGGATTTCTATTTCAATGAAAAGTACAGGATGCTTCTTATTTTAGGAAAAGTTAAACAAGTATCAAATATGAAACTTTTACATGTTAAAAAATATTACGTATGTGTTACACTATCTTCAATATAATTGGGAATTTATTTTTTTCTTATTGCTGGTTATTTCTCTCTCTCTCGATGGATAAATACATTTAATAGTATATCTTAAAATGTTATTCATATCGGAAATAGTAGAGAAACATATGTACACTAAAATAGAGTTTAACTAGGAAGACTTAACCTACTTATATGGTTAGATAAATTAATCTCATATTAATCTCAAGTACAGTTAAGTAGATTTGTCTCAGTTGGGGTTGCTGTTTGTTTAGACATACAACATTATGAAATATTAAATCAAATAATTTGGTTTAAGAAGTTCCAACCATGTCTATTTGGCATAAAATTATATTCTAAATATATTAGCTATATATTTTATATAGGTTAGAATATTTTATAAGTTTTAGCTACAAAACTAACAAAATCAAAACCTAGAGGACAATAACATAGGAAAGTTCAGTTTGGTTGGCTTTAGAATTCTATCCACAATTCTCTAGTCAATATCTTATTATAAGTACACGGGAGAATCTCAAATCAACGGTTTGAAACAAGAATCCATTAAAACAATGATGATATTAAGCTGAGATCAACTGCAAACCATTTAAATGTACATTAATAAAATAAAAATAGGGCCGCCTGGGTGGCTCAGTTGGTTAAGTGTCCGACTTCGGCTCAGGTCCTGATCTCACGGTTCGTGGGTTCGAGCCCCGCGTCGGGCTCTGTGCTGACAGCTAGCTCGGAGCCTGGAGCCTGCTTCGGATTCTGTGTCTCCCTCTCTCTCCGACCCTCCCCTGATTACACTGTCTCTAACTCTCTCTCAAAAAAAAAAAAAAAAAACCCAAAAAATAAAAATAAAAATATAAAATGCCATCAATGAAAATACTTTGCTAGTTGCAACTTCTAAGTTTGTCCTCCTTTCAAAGTTATCAACATTAATGAAACTAACAACAACATTAACAAAAGTGCCCTTTAAATAAAATTTCATAAAGGTCACTTCCCTATAATTTAAGTTCAGAGGTAAAGACCAACAAGACACAAGTGTTGTTCTTCTATGTTTCTCCATAAACACAAATGGAAGTCTGTATCACTTCAATACAAACAATCCAAAACAGTGCTACAATGGTCTGTCTCATCAAAGTTGTTCAAGGCTTATCTGTCTTATAAAATTAAATGTCACATCTGTACAATATGGGGTTGGTGTAACTCTCCTACTATAAAATTATATTTTCTGTTTAGAAACAACAGTTAATACGAACATGACTTCTCCAACACAAAAGTGATTGAGTAGCAAATAATGCTGAATTTGCCACTGTGTACACTATTTGAAAAGTAGCAAGAAGCCAGATAATTTCATTGCTATTCACAGAGGTGATTATTTGTCCACTTGCTCATGTGTCCTAGACCCATTCCCTGGAAACCAGACACCGTCACCACCTCCACACTGTCCGGTCTCCCCAGCTCAGCTCACCCTCCTGATCTGGCCCTTTTGGCAGAGCTGCTTATTTCTTAATGCTAACTGGAGGTACCACTCACAGGATGCTTGCAAAGTGTTTAATTCTCCTCAAAGCCCCGCTGGCATATCCTGTTATGGGGCTTGTTTTACAGAACAAACTGAGGCGTGGCTAGCTAGGTTAAGTGACTTGCTAAGGGACGAACTAATAAGTGGCAAAGCCAGGATTTGAACTTAGGGCTCTCCCTTCAGAACCTGTTTCCTTAGCTCATGGACTCCCATTTAATTATACTTATTCATTCGCTGTTTGGTGAACTCTTAAATTATATCAGAAGTCCTTTTCAGTTTTTAGAGGGATGGGTCTCTGTAGCTTTGTGGAAATATATTAAAGTTTAGAGGAACCCTCACTTAAAGGAACCTTTCACATCTGCTGATTTAAGACAAAGGGGGGGTGTACCTTTGTGAGGGTGTGTGCAGTTCCAGATAAAGCGCTCATTGAACTACTTCCCTTGAGGAGAAGGAAAAGGGCCTCAGTGGCCACACGTACCTCCATGCCTTTCCCTCCTCCCCACATGCTTACCTGTGTCAGGACAGGGTATTCTGCAGACGATCCGAAGGAAAAGCAATGTCTGAGTTTCATCTGGTCTGCTGCATGCCCACAGTCAGCTTGGGCTGCCCAAGTTTCCGCTTTCTAATAACTTGCCCTCTACCTGACATCGGGGGGTGGGTTAGACGGGTTCTTTTCCCTACCCCCATTTTTCACCTGCTATTCACACTACGACCAGGAGAAGCCTTTTTACCTGAGCTGTTGAGCCGAACTTGCTCCGAGAGTTTGTTGTCCTGCTCAGCCACAGATTCACAGATCCCGGCTGTCCCTTGGAAAGGCAGGGCTCCCTCACCTGTCATGGAGGTCAGGGCCAAGCGCGGGGGAGTGACGGCCCGAGGCTCTGCGAGGCTCAGCTCTGCACCTGGCAGTGCCCTTCCGCAGGATCATCAAGCCCCAGAAGCTGTTAATTATTACCCCCTTTTGCCAGACCAGGGACGTGTAAGAAACCTGAGCCACTCCCTTTCCCTCAGTGCATGTTGGGAGTGTTTACTTTCTTTCTTAGGAGCAGCTGATAGGAACGCTCCTTTGCTCTCTGACACACATCGTGAGAAGTGAAGTGACATTAATCACCGAATTAGACTAACTCTAACCTCTACTCTCTATCCAGATTACAGATGAATGGTCCATAAGAAATGACACTACCCAGGAAGGAATGTCATTATTCACACGTCTTTCTTTTAAAAATGTTCGGTTTGAATAAGAAATGTCTCCATTTTCTTTTCCTTGTTCTATTGCCAACTCCTTCCCGGCCAGCACCTTTTCACCCACAGTAGTGGTTCGCACACCTCGGGGCACACCAGAACCACTTCTATAACTCACTGAACCTGCACGCCTCTGCGCCTCCTCCCCATGAGCCTCTGATCTAGTAGGTCTAGGTAGACAGCAGGCATCGATATATTTTTTTTTAAGTTCCAAAGAAGAATCTTGTAAGTGTCAAAGTTTAAAAACTGTTGTAATGAAGTATAAAAAAAGAATTAAACAGTTATTCAGTCATTGGGCTGCTGAATGGAATTTGGGGACTTTGCTTTTCCTCGATACCTCCAATTTCAAAAAGGGCACCAAAGACTTAGAGACCCTCCAATGACAGATGCTATGGAAATACCAAGTGCTTTTATTTACACACACACACACACACACACACACACACGCACTTTTTAGTATCATTGTTCATTTATGTTTCCCATGTAAAGCAATCATTGATAATTTAAAAGTTATTTTTACAAGTGTGAACCGTAAACCATTTTTACAAGTGTAAAACCTCAAAAGAAATTCTATACAATTCAACAATGAGTTCAGTAGGCACAATTGACCTTTGGTGTCCTCTGAGTTCAAATATCAAAGTCATGGAGAGACCATTTTTCTAGATTTACAGGTTACCTGTTTGATAAATATAGTGTTTTAAGGATTCTGTATGTTGAAAAGGTCAAACAGTTTATCTGTTTATCTTGTATGTGAAGGTCAGGAGTGATGGGTTTTATCATTTTGGGGGGTTATTTTAATAAACTGAACAAAATCAACTTATTAGACCACAGTCAAAGCTTCTACAACCTTGTATATAAGGAAAGTGTAAATTGGGGTTACTTGTGGGCGTTAACTAGATTAGTTGTCCCCATAACCCCCTGCTGTACGGACTGACCTTTGAGTGATGACTAAAGGGAGCTGCAGTGTCTCTGGCTTCCAGATTCCAGAACTTTTTTGTCTAAGGTTATGCTCCACCTCCACTGCCTGCACTCTTATGGGGATCATTTGCTTATTATCAGTATCAGGGCAACTTTGTTTTGCATTTTTCATCACAAGCATCCTTAAAGGCTTTATTCTGACTTCCGGTTTCCAACTAGTTACCTTCCAATAGAGGCTCAGTGACTCCTTTTATTTGTGAGTACTTATCCTTCCATAAATACATATAGACATAGATATAAATTTGTAATATAAAAAAATACATAGTTACACACGTGCAATGTGAAAAGTTTGAAAACACAGACACGTAGAAGAAAAAGTCACCTACACTCTCAACACTCAAATATATAAACAATTTGGTGTATGTCTTCATTGACATGGTTTCTGTACAGGTACTTACCAAAATGCTATTACCTCTGGCTTGATGTTTTATAACCTGCTTTTATCACATAAAACATATTATGAACTATCTACCATATGTCAGTCGGGGTTTTTTTTTCCCCTGCAATGTGATTTTAACTGGCTGTACTGTATTACACCATATAAAGCATTATTTAATCGGTTCCCTATTGTGAGAAATTTATATTACTGTAAATAAGACTGAAGTAAATGTGTATATATAGCAGGACACAACCAGGATAGTGTCTTTTACATACGTTTCCAAAAAGGAAATTGCCAACTGAGAGAGAATTGTGTATTTTTAAAGAATTTCTCTCAAAAAAAGTGTCAACTTTATACTCCTAGGACAACTCCTAGATTATTTTTTTTATTTACCAATCACATTCTATTTTAAATATGTATATTATTGATTTTCTAATAATATTGAATTCTTTCTATAGATTTCCCCTGTATTTTTGCTTTTTTTTTTACTTCTCATAGTCTTTGCACATCTTTTCCATATTGATTTGTAAGATCTCTTTATATATTAGGCACAGCAACTCTTCATCATAAATGCTATGAATACATTTCACAAGTATTATTTGCTTTTTAATTTTGTTTATTGTAGATTTTTTACATTCAAAAGTTTGAGTATTTCAATATTCAATCTATTAATATTTTTCCTTAACACTTGTATCTCAGTGTTAAACAGCTTTCCCATCCTTAAAGTATGTAAGTATGCATATTTATTTTCTTCTAGCTTATTTATTTAGATATTATTCATACATCAAATTTAACATTCAATTCATCTAACCTTTGTGATGTAAAACTATGATTTTTATTTATTTATTTTTTGGTTTCAGGAGTAGAATTTAGTAATTCATCACTTACATATAATATCCAGTGTTCATCGTAACAAGTGCCTTCCTTAGTACCCATCACCCATTTAGCCTGTCCTCACCTCCCCTCCAGCAACGCTCAGTTTGTTCTTTATATGTAAGAGTTTCTCATTGTTTACCTGCCTCTGTTTTTTAATCTTATTTTATTTTTTTCCTTTCTTTCCCATATGTTCATCTGTTTTGTTTCCTTAAATACCCATATGAGTGAAATCATATATTTGTCTTTCTCTGACTGATTTATATCACTTGGCATAATATACCTTGTTACAAATGCCAAGATTCTATTCCTTTTGATTGTTGAGTAATATTCCATTATATATATATATATATATATATATACCATATATATACCATGTATATACCATGTATATATATGCCACATCTCCTTTATCCATTCATCAGTTGATGGACATTTGAACTCTTTCCATAATTTGGCTATTGTTGATAGTACTGCTATACACATTGGGGTACATGTGCTCCTTCAAATCAGCATTTTTTGTGTCCTTTGGATAAAAACCTAGTAGTACAATTGCTGGGTCATAGGTTAGTTCTATTTTTACTTTTTAAGGAATATTTATACTGTTCTTCAGAGTAGCTGCACCAGTTTGTATTGCCACCAACAGTGCAAGAGGATTTCCCCTTTCTCCACGTCCTCACCAACATCTGTTGTTCCCTGAATTGTTAGTGTTGGCCATTCTGACAGGGTGTGAGGTGGTATCTCATTGTGGTTTTGATTTGCATTTCCCTGATGATGAGTGATGTTGAACATACTTTCACGTGTCTGTTTGCCATCTGGATGTCATCTTTGGAAAAGTGTCTGTTCATGTCTTTTGCCAATTTCTTCACTGGATTATTTGTTTTTTGGGTGTTGAATTTGGTAAGTTCTTTGTAGATTTTGGATACTATCCCTTTACTGATATTTCATTTGCAAGTATCTTCTCCCATTCTGTTGGTTGCCTTTTAATTTTGCTGATTGTTTCCTTCACTGTGCAGAAGCTTTTTATCTTCATGAAATCTCAATAGTTCATTTTTGCTTTTGTTTCGCTTGCTTTCAGACAGAAGGAGTTGCTGTGGCCAAGGTCAAAGAGGTTGTTGCCACTTTTCTCCTCTAGGGTTTTGATGGTTTCCTGTCTCACATTTAGGTCTTTCATCCATTTTGAATTTATTTTTGTGTATGGTGTAAGAAAGTGGTCCAGTTTCATTCTTCTGCATGTCACTGTCCAGTTTTCCCAACACTGTATTTTGAAGAGCTTGTCTTTATTCCACTAGATATTCTTTCCTGCTTTGTCAAAGATGAGTTGGCCATGCATTTGTGGGTCCATTATTTTTCCATCAGTGTTTCTTAACAGGTTCTCTATTCTGTTCCATTGATCTATCTGCCTGAAAACCTGGGATATTTAAATCTAACTTAATTTTTCTAAACTAGTAGTTTGTTAACGATGTAACATTTATTAAATAATTATAGATTACAAACTCCACAAAGCAAGGACTATCTCTTATTCTCCATTGTATCCCCAAAGCCTAGCACAGTGGCTATCAGGCTCACGGTTGCTCAGGCCAAATGTTTTTTTTTTTTTTATATTTTATTTTATTTTACTTTTTTTTAACAAATAGTTTATTGTCAAATTAGTTTCTACATAACACTCAGTGCTCATCCCCAAAGTGCCCTCCTCCATGCCCCTCCCCCCTCCCCCCCACATCCATCAGTCCTCAGTTTTTGTCAGCATTCAAGAGTCTCTCATGGTTTGCCTCTCTCCCTTTCCCCCACCATTTCTGCCCTTCTTCTCCCCCTTGTTCCTCCGTCAAGTTCCTCCTAATCCTCCTATACGTGCAAACATATGATATTTGTCCTTCTCTGCGCTCAGGCCAAATGTTTAATAGTCTACTTTTGACTTCTTTCTTTCCCTTCATCCACTCCCAGTAAATCGGCAAGTTCTGACGTTGTATCTTAGTCTCTGAATCTCCACTCTCCCCTAAATTACGCTGGAATCACTTCTTCCTCAAACACTGCAATGACCTCCTAATTGGTCTTTGCCTTCACTCTTGTCTCACTATGCCCATTCTCCACTTGTAACCAGCATAATCTTCTCCACTCAAAAATCAGATCATAATACCATCTCTGATTTTCTTTGCTGAAAACCTTTCTGCTGGTTGCCTCCCACATCTGGGATAAAATCTAGATCTGAACTCCTTCCCATCGGTCCCATGACCCAGTTCCCTATTCTTTGATTTGATTGATTCTGTTTTCCTGGTACTGACTTTATACTTTGCGGCTCTGGTTTGTCTTTTGTTCTTGAAACATACCAAGCCTCATTTCCTTTGCTCTTGTCAGGTCTCTGCCTAGAAAACTTAGCTTTCAACACAGCTGATTTTTCTGTTTTTTTCTTAAACGTAACCACCTCAGAGACACCTTCCATGGGCATCATATCCAAATGAGGCCTCCAATCTTTCTCTAATGCAGTCCCTTATTTTATTGTCCTAGTGACAATTGTCACTATGTGAATTCATTTCACTGTTTTGTTAATGACTGTGTATTTATTGTTTTGGGTGATTTGTATATTTTATGTCTCTTCTCATTAAAACTTTAGCTCTAAGAAAACAGGAACTTTGAATTCTAGGTTCAGGGCTCTGCCTTCTCTACCTCAAACAATGCTAGGCCCATGTCAGAGGTTTAAGAAACACTGATAGAGGAACAAATAATAGTGGCTTAATAAATATATGTTGAGTAAATAAATACAAATCTATTTTCTCTGACTTGAAATCATACTTTTATCAAGTATTAAGGTATATATATATATATTTTAAATATGGGTCTAGAATTTACATTTTATTCAATTCATCTATGTAGCTATATTGGTATCAGTTTCTTATTATTAAAATTTTATAGTACAGCTTAATATCTCATGGTATAATTTGATCATCTTTTTTTTCTAAAATGTTCTTGATTATCTTAGCCTTATAATTTTGTAAATAGCTGCTCACTATAGAATAATAATGATTTAGTTTCTATTTAGTGATTTCACCATTAACCATTGTTGTTGGCAGTTTCTCCTAGGCCAACAGGTTAATCCATGTTATCAATTTACTTCAGCTCTAGGGGAGAAAGGCACCTAAGAGGAGATATTTTTCTTGGTTAATGCCTTCTTTTAGAGTATTCAAGTGAGTGCTACATTGACTATAGGAATAGCTCTGCTTTGTTCATGCCTCCCTGTATTTGGAGGGACGTCCCTGAGCCGGTTCTGGGTTTGGACATGTGACTTGCTTTGGTCAATGGGTCAGTTCCAAGTGATAAAAGCAGAGGGTTGAAAATCAACTGGGCCCTGGGAGTTACCCTTTGATGGTTAAGCTTTGTTGGGCTCTTCAAGCCAGAACCACCATATGAACAAGGCTGGGCTAGCCTGTGGGGTGAGGAGAGACCCTTGGCCCAGCTGCTCCATTACTGTAGCTGACAGCCTAAAGGCAGAGCCACTAAGATAATCTGCAGCTGACTAAAGACCCAGAAATGAGTCCAGCTAATGGCAGAAACACTGTCTAGCAGAGCCTAGCCCACATTACCAACCCATGGAACAATGAGCTATTTCATTGGTGATTGTGCTAAACCACTACATTTTAAGGTGGTTTGTTTTGGAGCACAATCTAATGAATACATCTGGCATGTTTTGTCAAATACACACATACAAACATGCTTGCATACCAATATATCATTAATTGAAAATCAGGAGAAATATTTAGATTACATTGTGTTTCTACTACAATTTTGTTGCAGGAATACAGTGGCCCATAGCAAAAGAACAGAAAAGAAGGAGAAAAAAAGAGATGTGGGTTATTGTTAGGTTAGGTCATTTCCACAGACCACTAAATCACCCCTGAAAAACATTTAGAGATGATTGTAACTTGAGGAAAACACATGAACAATGAGAAATTACCTGGTTGTAACACTATGTAACCCATGCTGTGGGCCACGCTTATCAGTTTGTTTCATGGCCTTCTACCTCATTTTGTATCTGAAGCTGTATTTGAGGCCTATGCTAGGCACTAAGTGAAGTAAAAAAGGAAGTAGCATAACTCCACACATTGAAGAGACTCCCCCAAAAATCTAACTGGATTACCTTTTTAAGGAAGCCAGCCATTCATAATGAGGCAACACGGTAAATTACTTTTCCAATGTGTAAAGCTTAAAATAAAAATACTTTACAATTGGGAATTTTTACATTCAAGATCTTCGTAAATTACAACATTTATAATATTAATTCTCGGGGAAAATCCTGACATTTGTCTTGAACTTGAGAAGTAAACTATCATTTCCTATTTAGATTAATGAACATTTAGTTTATTTCCTGTGAAAACAAAGGCTTTCAAACTTTGATTTAAAAAACTAAAATTTTTCTTTGTTGAGAAAAATAAGATAAGGGAGGAGAAACTCCCTTTTAAAATTCTCCCAAAAGTTTAATTTAAGCCATGTTGTTTTTGATGGTTGGGTCATTTAAACAACTTTTATATAGTTGATGAACTTTTAAAAAATAACCTCTGTTATTCCATTGTAGGGCTGAACAGTAAATTTTGAAGCAGCCTATGATTTCTCTTAATGATGGGGATAAATGCCACACAACTGCTTTCACAACTTGAACAATGAAAAACAATATTGAGAAGTGATCCAAATAATTTCTAGTTCTAAGCACTTTTCGTGTCTAAGAGAATGTTTCAGTATACACTGAACATTCAGTATACACTGTTTTTCAACAGTGTGATGGCCAGTGGAAAGAATTCAACTTACCCAGTCGTTGAAAAACTGCTGTGTGCCAGGCAGATGCAGAGATGGCCACATAGAGATACATAAGAACTTCTCTGCCTTCCAGGATCCACAATCGTCAACATGGAGACGGACTCCATTCAGTCTTCTCTGCCACAGGAGAGAAGGGATTTCAAAGCACACATACTTTCAAAATTCAGTGACAGAAAGAATCCTAGGGTATGATGGTGTTTTGATAGATTTTAAGAGGTGGGAGCCTCAACAGTAAAGTTTGTTTTAACAAATAAATGTAGTCCTTAGTTTTATTTTTTAATTAATTAATTAATTAATTTAGAGTGGGGGAGGGGCAGAGAGAGAAGACAAAAATCTGAAGCAGGATCCAGGCTCTGAGCTGTCAGCACAGAGCCCAACACAGTGCTTGAACCCACAAACTGTGAGATCATGACATGAGCAGAAGTTGAATGCTTAACGGACTGAACCACTCAGATGCCCCATAAATGGACTTTTTAAAGGAATGGACAGTCCTTTTCAAATGGAATAAGCAAAAATCATTCTCACACCCCAAATTTACTGCCTTTTAATATTGATAATTGTGTACAAGCATAAAGAAATCCAATAGAATGTGACAGTGATTGCTTTTTTCTAAATATGGTAGTTAGCCGATTTGATTTTTATATCAGTCTGTTTCTACATTCCTCCTCCCCCAACATATGCACACACACTTCACACCCTTCCAGTTTTGGAAAAAGATGAAAAAAATAATAGCAATCGTAATAATAAGAGTAACACCATATAAAAATGGAATTCCACATGACAAATAGCTTATAAGCAATCAATGTCCTTAAATCTCAATATAAGCAGTTGAATGATACTGAAACTCAAGTCATAGCCTGGACATTCTTCAATGGTGTATTGTAATAGTGACCATATTTCTAAATAAAAACCATAATATTTGGTCTGCTTTCTGGAAAGAATCCATGAATTTAAGAATTTGCTAAGATTGGAATGATACAGAAAAGATTAGCATGGCCACTGAACAAGGATAATACACAAATTCATGAAGCATTAGATATTAAAAAAAATTGCTAGGAAATCAGAGACATATGAATGTTAAATAAATAACACAGTTCTCATTAATGCAGACTGTGAGTGGTGTGTTCTTGTCCCTTGTCTGTGTTATTGCTACAGGACCACACTTTGGATGGCTCCCATCATCTCACATATACTGAAACCATCCGGTTGCTTATAACACACACTTGACATCAGAGTCATATGTAGAAGTAACTAAGGATGTGTGTGTGTTTCTTTTTCTTTTAGTTTTTCATTTAAAAATTCTCATATGTGGGACGCCTGGGTGGCTCAGTCAGTCAAGCATCCAACTCTTGATTTCAGTTCAGGTTATGATCTCACAGTTTGTGAGATGGACCCCCACATCGGGCTCTGTGCTGACAGCACAGAACCTGCTTGGGATTCTCCTCTCTCTCTCTCTCAAAATAAAGAGAGAAATTTTTTTATATTCTCTTTATAATTTAAATAAAAATTTAATTAATTTTTAAAAAGTTCTCAAACTCTCACAATTGTTTTCTATCCCCTGATAACTAGCTACATATGGTCATGTATCTTAGGCAGAGGTGCTTGGATATCTTCAGAAAGCAGGAGGTGGTTGAGCTTGTGCTGGCTACACCCATTGTAAGTAGCTCCTGGAACATATTGTGTTTGCACTAAGGGGTCCCTCCTGGGGCAAACTCTTGTGATATCAAGTAGTTCACAACATATTCATGGAGCAAGGTTAAACATTTGAGTAATGGAATTCCTCTTCTGGGTAGTGTCTGTTTATTACTTAGAATAAAAAGAAGGAGCTGTTAAAATACTCCTCTTTCTAACTATATAGGTGTATGATATCAGTTTTTGTCAATACTGTAACAGATTAAATGCAGAAACAGATAGGAGAATCCAGATGATTTCTATTAAGCTAGATAGTAAAGAGATTTGCCAACTATGAAACAATGAAATTCTCTTCAGTACATTTTTTTTGTTTGGGAAAATATAGTTATTTTTGATAAAATATAATTGACTGATAATGAATTTATATTTTTAAATAAATTAACAGGTAAATTATTTTTTTCCTCAGTTTTAATTTCTGACACAGTGAACATCAATAAATATAATCTACATAAGCAAAATCCCTTGGGGTTGTCAATAATGTTGAAAAGTGTAAAGAGATTCCAAGTAACTGAAAAAGTTGAGAATTTCTGGCTGGGAACAGAGATGGGTGGGACCTAGAAGAGTACATTTGGGGAGAAATCAACATTTAGCTGGTGATGGAAACAGGCATGTGGAGGAAATTGGCCAGCAAAAGTTTATAAAAGGAAAAGAAATGACTTATAAGAAAATGAGCTTTAGTTTCTTAACCTGTCTAAGTGTATCTCATCTACAAAATGTGAATAATGTTCTCTGCATTGTTGTAAATGGGTCAGTGTTTGTAAAGCACTTCTTATAAGAAGGTACATGATATTTACTTTTTATTTTTCTATCTTTTTAAACCTTATTTATGTATGTTTGTATGTATGTATGTATGTATGTATGTATTTTTGAGAGAGAGAGAGAATGCACAAGCACATTAGCAGGGGAAGGGCAGAGAGAAAGGGAGAGAGAATCCCAAGCAGGCTCTGCACTGTTGGTACAGAGCCCAATGCAGGGTTCGATTTCACTGCTGTGAGATCATGACCTGAGCCAAAATCAAGAGCTGGATGTTTCACTGAATGAGCCATTAGGTGTCCCTGAGTCTTTTACCTTACTTAATTCCAATATAGAATTCGTTTCTTAGACATTTTCCAATTGACCAGTCAAGCACTCCTAGTTTCCTTTATGCAGGAGTAAGGGTAGAGGGGAAGCAAGTAGGGAGAGAAAGTTTGAGACAATGAAGGGAAAGGGAAGTGTAGCTTGTCATCTGCCCTTACTGCATTCATATGGTTCAAGCAGCCCCTGCCTTTGAGGCGAGTGGCTTTACTACTTCTTTTAAATTGGATTCAAATGTCCTAGGTATTTTTCAGTGTGGCAAAAAGAACAGAATGACATTGGTATCAGATGTGATTTGAATTCTGCTGTGCTCCATACTGGTTGTGTGACTTTGGGAAGTTACTCCACTTTTTGGAGCCCTAGTTTCCTAATCTATACAATGAGAACCCTGACAGAGACCTTAATGGGAATCCTACTGCATAAGGACATGTAGGCAAACATAATAGTTGCTCAGTAAGTGACAACAACATTGCTGTTTGCTGAGACCTAAGCAAAGATCTCTAAAGCAAGAAAACCAACACTTCCAAGATTGAAGTGAAGAGTTAGAACTGAGGGATGGAACTAAAGGGAAAATGAAAGTAGACTGTGAACAGTGAAAAAAAATTTTAGAAAAAAATTCATAGTTTGATGTTTTTGTTTTTCCATTGTGACTCAAACATCCATTTTAATCCTTTCTAAAAGGGTAGATATGTGTACACATCTATATCATCTGTATCTATATCCTATCTATCTATCTATCTATCTACTCATCAAAGTGAGCACATGGACTGGCAGCCACTGAAATTCAGGGTGGGATGGGCTGATGGTAGGAAGAGTGGTTTCTAGATATGCAGATGGACAGACTGCTATGACAGAAGACAAGTGGATAGGTCTCCACAAATTCAAAAATTGAAAGCCTCTGCAGTGTTTTTCATACCAAGGCCTACATTTTGCAACTGAGGTTGTGCTGTAGTCTGCCAGGCTCCATTTCCATGCTATCTCTATGTAGGTTATTTATTCAAGGATGATTTATTTTCCTAAAGTGCCATGAAAATGTTGGAGGCAGCATGGCACATATAGAGACAGTTCAGGCTTTGGAGCCAAGCAGAACTTGGTTTGACTCCTAGCCCTGCTGATCTGGGCAAATTAATTAATGCAACCTGTAGTACTGAGTGCGTACCATGTCCCTGGCATTGCACTAATTTCTTATGACATGACAATGAGCAAAGACCTCTATAATCCCTACTCTTATGGACCTCACAGTATCAAGTGGGAGATAGACATTATTTTAAAATGAAACCAACTTGACAATAAGCTATTTAAGAAAAAAAAACATTTTATTCATACTAAAAATAAAATAAAATAAAATGACACGAATGAATATATGATTACTCTCTGAAATAAATTCTAATCTGCATTATAAGTCAGGGTCGGGTGGAGGAAATGACATCTAATCAGAAGGAGCAGCCTATGCAAAAGATCTTTGGCAGAAAGGAACAAAGAAAATTAAAAGACTGAGAAAAATTCAGGGTAGTTGGAATGAAGACAGCCAGAGGGGGGATCAGAAGCTCCAGCTTCATTGTCTGTAAACTGGAGATAAAAATACATAAGGTATTTTTATGGGTTAGTGAGAGCATATGAGACGCCCAGCCAATAGTGACTATTCATTCAATGGTGGCTACAATTACAGTTACATAATTATCGCAGAGATGAAGAGTTTCTTCAGTTATGTAACATTTGATCAACCTTCTCTTAACATTTTAGTTGTGCTCATCCTTTACAAGCATGTAAACTCATTCAACTGGCAGACAAATTCATCCCAGTCCCTACAATACCCAGAAGGCTTACAGTTTATGGAGAAAGTGTGGTATTTTCATTTGGTCTTGGACTGTGTACATGCCTGTCAATGAGAGAAGGGATGTCGGAAAGCCATTGTTAAAAGGAAGAAGGGAAGGAGTCAAAGAAACCCAATGCTCTAAATCTTTTTTTGTTCCCTAGACATGTCTTGAAATGTGACATTCCATTCCCCTAGTCTGTCATTTTTCTATCCTACAGGCAAGGTTCCAACCTCCCAGCGTGTACCCGCAAGCAAAGATCTGAACAAGGAAGCTACTGCAGACAAAGCTCTTTTAACGATATCAGGGAGTTAAATTGAATTGCAGAATTAGGTAGTCTTGAGGATGCAGTAGCATTTATTTATTTATTTAGTCATTGATTTATTTTCATTTATTTTTACAGTTTTATTTATTTATTTATTTTTGTAAGTCCTTTTTAAAAATTTTATTTATTCCTTAAAGAGAGAGAGAAGATAGAGGGTTTCAAGCAGGCTCCATACTGTCAACATTCAAACGTACGAACCATGAGATCATGACCTGAGCTGAAACCAAGAGTCAGATGCTTAACTGAGCTACCCAGCCACTCTTAAATTCTAAGTTAGTTAACATACAGTGTAATATTAGTTTCAAGTGTACAATCTAGTGATTCAGCACTTCCATACAGCCCCCAGTGCTCATCACAGATGCACTCCTTAATCCCCATCACCTGTTGATCAACCCCGCTCCCCCCGACTGACCCTCTGGTAACCATCAGTTTGTTCTCTATAATTAAGAGTTTCTTTTTTCTTTGGCCTCTCTCTCTTTCGTTTTTATTGTTTCTTAAATTCCCCTTACAAGTGAAATCATATGGCATTTGTTTTTTTCTGACTGATTTATTTTCTTTAGCAGAATACTCTCTAGCTCCATCCACGTGATTGCAAATGGCAAGATTTTATTCTTTTTATGGCTGAGTAATATTCCATGGTGCGTGTGTGTGTGTGTGTGTGTGTATATATATATATATATATATATATATATTCATCAAATGACACTAGGGGCTGTTTCCATAATTTGACTATTGTTGGTAATACTGCTGCAAACATCGAGGTGCATGTATAAATTTGAATTAGTATTCTTTGGGCAGATTTCTAGTTGTGCAATTGCTGGATTATAAAGGAGAAATGGATAAATTCCTAGAAACATGTAAACTACTGAAACTGAAACAGGAAAAAATAGAAAACTTGAACAGACTGATAACCAGCAAAGAAATTTAATCAGTAAAACAAAACAAAACAAAAACTCTCAACCAACAAAAATCCAGGACCAGATGGCTTCACAGGTAAAATCTACCAAACATTTAAAGAAGAGTTAATACCTATTCTTCTCAAACTATTCTGAAGAACCGAAAAGGAAGGAAAAATTCCAAGTTCATCTTATGAGACCAGTATTACCCTGATACCAAAATCAGACAGAGACCCCACTAAA